GATTTGGGGGAGATTCATTCAAAGAACAGCCCATGACAATTTTGAGTAGAACTCACAATATCAACAAACATATATGCTACAAGCCACGATATTACTTAATGCGATGCAAAACTAAAACACACTTTTTTTTAATAAACCAAACGAGAACACCATTAATCGTCACTACAAGTAAGCTCGAAGCACCAATGCTTTGATTTTGTTAGAACCATCCTAGCATTGCTTTACCTAGTCTTGTCTATCGTCGATCGACATATCTATCATTTATGCATAAGGAACAGGCAGCTGTCCATTGCACCACGGAACGCATCACCCACCGCGGCGTGTAGCGCTTCAGGCGCCAGGTCATCACTCGTAGGGGTGGCGTCACGCCACTTGGAGCGTGTCCGCAGTCCCTTGAGATATCGCAACAAGCTCAGATCGCCTTGAGGAAGTGCCAGCAGTAGTGTACCCTTCGGTAGCTCCTCATCACGAAGTTGTTGCAGAAAAGCGTCCACTTGTTCGCAGTACGCTTGCTGCTCTGCCATCCACAGCTCGTGCTTGCCTACGAAGTCGTTGCAAAGCGCTGCGCTCGCACTAGGAGGCTCGATCTCCACCCAGCACAGATCTGGCTGCGTTGTTTCACTTGACTGGTCACTCAAGGCAGCCTGAAGACTCGTCTTCAACGTCTCCCACGACAAGCAGCTTTCCACCTTCAAGATAGCGTTTGCCGAAGCTGCGTTTGAGGTAGTTGAAGAGTTGGCTTCGGCTTTTGCCTTCACTGCTTGGGCATGGCGGAACGGGCTTTGTGCTTGAGCCTTCAGATCACCACTTGCGTATAGATCCCACGGCTTTCGCTCCACTACCGATGCTTTGGTAGAGTCTCCATTGCTCTGTAGACGCAGCATCGTCATTTTCTTTTCTAAAGCAAAGGTTTTATCGACAATAGAATCGAAAGCTCCACTCGTGGAGACTGACTCAGGGATACCGAACCAAGGTCCTTGACGAACCTTCAGCAATAGCAGCTCTAACGATGCAATGGCGTCCTCAGCTGAGTCGTGTCCATTTTGGGTCTGGATCTGGATATCCTTCTTTAGATACGTCTTGGTCAGATACTTGAGCGATGTGCGGAAGGGGAAACCTCGTTGATGAGGGTACAGGATGGCCGTGTCTTCAATTGTAGGATGCACTAAGCGAAGAGCACGTAGATCACTCGTCAACGAGTGACCCACCAGAATCGTGTCCTTAAAGAGAAACCGCGTTATCAAGTCTCGCTGCACGTCCGCCAGAATGTATTTCGTATCCCGCAGAGTCTCCTCGGAGATGCCGCTGAACTCCGTGTGGTAGTTAATGATAGTGCTCTGCGGCTTCACTAGCTGGTCGTACACGACGTCACCTTTAATGTTTACGACCGTCACGCGCGTAAGTTCCATGCCGATATCCGTCTCGCACATCTCACAGTCCAGAGCATAGATGAACTCGTCAGTTGAAGACGCGCTCGCTAATGTTTCATCCGTTTCCATTGCTGCTCCTTCTTCGTCATCTGAAGCAGAGCCAGACTCTTCCACTGTAATTGTCGGTCGAGGCTGCGTTGCCACGTATCTGTCGCGAGTGTTCCCATCCGTTTCTTCTAATAATTTGCGCTGTTCCTCTTCTACATCCGTCGGAAATCCATGTTGCTTCAAATCTTCAAGCGTAAGTAAATAATACTCGAATGCTTCTCGTGTCAAAGGCTCGTCCTCTTTCTCATCCTTGCCATTCGCCTCAGTATCCTGCTGTTTTGACAAGTCATTTACTTGTTTCTCTTGCAGAATAAGCGACCCATCGGCGGAGCGAGGCACGTCTACAGCAATCGCTTTAGCAAGCGACAGCCAGATAGACCGCGGCTTGTCGTCACCTCGGCGTTTCTTGGCCAAATGCTCAGGTACCTTATGCGCGTAGGTCTCGTCCGTCACTGGATCCGTCCTAAACTCGTGCATGCTTCCATCTTGACTGACTAGCACATCCAACGTGTACGCATCGTTCTCTTCCTCTTCCATAGTAACGTCCTGATCTGTGGGAGTCTCATCCACTGCAGAAGCAGCTTTGGTCGTTCGCTGTCTCCACTTGAGATGCAGCAAGTCCCCGTCTAGCTCCCATGTGCCTCCAAGAGGCTGACTCTTGCGTGTAAATTTCCCAGCCGGGGTAAACACCAATTCATCCGTAAAGCCAGCCGAGTGCTTCATTAAGAACGTCAGTTCATGGGCGTAGAACAGCTCATCCGTCGACAATTCGTGGGTATCCACCGTCGGTCTTGGGAACTTATACATCAACTCTGACAGTGACGCTTCTGATCTCCTGATCTGGTTGAGCTCCTGCTTCGTTAGCATCACTGGAACACTAGAGCAGCCATCAAAGAAGCTCAACTTCGCCCGGTATTTCTGCAACACTGATGGGTGCAGTTTTTCCAATAGTATGATGCAGACTTTGGTAGGCAACTGAGCTCCAGGTGTCAAATAAGGCAGCAAATAGGGGCTTACCATGCCTTCCTTCTTCCTGCTGCCGCCACGGAGTACATTAAGTACGAGCTTCTGTACGTCCTCGACGTCCAGGCGTTTCCTGCTGCGAGCTGCGCCCATCCACGCGGCAAAGTCCAGTAATACGTTGCTGCGTGGCTGCTGTCTTGGATATTTGACGATCAAGTCTTCGGCGTACGCGCGGTCGTCCTGGTGTTCGTGTGGTGATGCATCGCGTCTGCGGTCGCTGTAGCCATTGCCGCTGTTGCTGTTGTAGCGCGTCGGTTGACGGTGAGACAGCGGTGGACGTGCATCGTATATTGAGGCAGACTCGGTGGGTCTGGTGTCTTGTAGAGATGAGTGCAGACGCTTGCGAGGGTTTCGATGACTGGGTGTGGGGAGCAGCGCGGATGGGGACTCTACAGGCGCCTGAATAGCACTTGATACGACAGAAGGGGTAGCAGTATCAGAGGCAGAAGGTTCCGCGGGAGGAGAGGATTGCTCCACCTCCTCGCCCTCCTCCATGATCTCGCCGTCTTCGTAGTCGTCGTCCGATGCCATTTCGACGCTAGGTGGTTGGCCGTCAAGATAAAATGAGTACAAATATTGTCGCAGAATTCTCAAAAATCTTATCTCCAAAATAAATATTTACTGAAAGATCTTTGTTAATATTGAGAGCGTACTTAACCGAAGTTAGTAGAAATGTTGGAACCCAGAAAACCAGTAAGGAGCTACTGATTTATGAAAATTGTTCTTCAAACATGTTTAAACCAGTTTGAAAATAATCACAAGTTGGTAGTTCCAACCAAATTGGTAAATGCACGCAAATTTGGAGTGATACACATTCCGTTGTCTAGATTGCACTCCAGCAAGGAGCTCGAGTATTCCCACGCTTGTTTTGGTGCTTCTAGCCTACGTTTTAAGACGACTTCTCGCCTACCTGCCGTCGGCACTGCCAATTTGACAATGCCAAAGTTTATCTTGAAGAATAACACGGGCAGATTTGAATGAATCTCCTCCAGCAAAAACAAGGCGGTACCGGTAAGCGCAAGAGTTGACGAATGGCCTGAAATTCAACTAGAACAACATGCATCCAAAACAACCACCGTATTCTTTCGCTGTTGCATCGAGTACATGTAGGACGAACGCAGCACGCGTACACGCGTGACAACCGAGAAAGCGCTTATCGTTTGCATGACGTCAACACCGTCCACAGAATGCATGTCCAGCAGCAGCCAAATCTACTTGAGGATTCGTAGACGAGTCGAGACACTTTTACAGGCCTGATTATGTATCCATTTCCTTGCCCAATCAGATTTTTTTTTCATGTGGTAGGATGTGGCGCATCCAATCCGTTCGTCCACAGTTCTGCTGACGTCATTCTCCAAGTTGCCTCCTCCAGCACAAGTGTCTTGCATCCACCCGTTCAGTATGAGCAGCGCCGCCTCCAACTACGTCGACGAGCACCACGGCTTCGGCACCACAGCCATCCACGAAGGCCAGGCTCCGGACGAGCACACGGGTGCTGTGGCCGTGCCCATCACGCTTGCCAGCACCTTTGCGCAGGCGTCCCCTGGCGTCGTGGCCGGTCGCAATCAGGCCAATTCGTTTGGCAAGGGTTGGGAATACTCGCGTACGGGCAACCCGACGCGTGGCGCTCTGGAGCGCGCGCTGGCTGCCTGCGAGAAGGGCCGCTTCGCCGTCTGCTTCTCGTCGGGCATGGCTGCCACGACGGCTGTGACCCATCTGCTTAAGCACGGAGACCACGTGCTGTGCATTGACGACGTGTACGGTGGCACGCAGCGCTACTTCCGCCAGACCGTCAACCCTACGTACAATATCGAGTTCGACTTCACGGACTTTGGTGACTTGAACAAGGTAGAGAAGCTGCTGCGTCCCGGCCAGACCAAACTCATCTGGATCGAGACTCCTACCAACCCGACGCTCAAGATTACGGACATCCGTGCCGTGTCTGAGTTCGCTAAGAAGCACAACCTGCTTCTGGCCGTGGACAACACGTTCATGTCGCCTTATTTCCAGAACCCTCTGACTCTGGGCGCCGACATTGTCGTGCACAGTATCACCAAGTACATCAACGGCCACAGTGACGTTGTGGGCGGAGTGGTTGTCACTAACTCGGAGGACATCAACACTAAGCTACGTTTCATCCAGAACGGCATCGGTGCCGTGCCCGCCCCCTTTGACTGCTACATGGCGCTGCGTGGTCTCAAAACTCTGCACGTTCGTATGGCCACTCACGCCAAGAACGCTCAGGCTGTTGCTGAGTACCTGGAGGCCCACCCTGCCGTCGAGAAGGTGTGCTACCCCGGGCTCAAGTCCCACCCGCAGCACGAGATCGCCAAGACGCAGGCGTCTGGCTTCGGTGGCATGGTCACGTTCTACGTCCATGGTGGCCTGGAGAAGGCCCGTGCCTTCCTGGAAAACCTCGAGGTGTTCACGCTGGCTGAGAGTCTTGGCGCTGTCGAGTCACTAGCCGAGTCCCCCGCTATTATGACGCACGCTTCCGTGCCCCCGGAGGTGCGTAAGGAGATCGGCATCTCCGACAGCCTCATCCGTCTGTCCGTCGGCATTGAGGGCCTCCCGGACATCATCGCCGACCTGGAGCGCGCGCTTGCCGCCGAGCCCAAGTCCTCGTAGATTGATAGACCCAATATACGCAGCATTTTCGCTACAAGCAGCTCTTTTTCTTACTTAATTTCCTTCAATTGTACCAATTTGAACGTGAATGGGTACTCCGAGTAATCGCTCACTCTGCTGCACCTGTAGCTCCGCTTGACTAAGCACCAGCTCGATCTCGTTCGCCACAGTTCGTGCCGTGGAACTGACTCGTATGTCGTCTTGAACAGCGGCTCGTTTAAGCCAGTAAAGAGCCTGCGAGTAGTCCACAACAGACGCCTGACCGTGAATGTGCATCTGACCCAATGCGTACATGGCTTGCGCACTATCGAGATCCACAGCCTGTTGAAAGTACTCTCGCGCACGCTCGAAGCTTTGCTCAACGCCGCGACCTTGAATATATAGTAGACCGAGGTAGTAAAATGCGTCGGGTACTTGTTGCTCGCCAGCTTGGCGGTATAAATCGGCTGCAGATTTGAAGTCCTGCACCACGCCACGACCGTACTCGTACATGACGCCGAGATGGAACTTAGCGTGGCCATTTCCAGAGTTTGCGGCGTCCTGCAACAGATCGACAGCGCGATTTACGTCTTCACTGACTCCTCGTCCTTCATTGTACATCCTAGAAAGGTAGAACCATTGTTAGTCCTATGAGTATTTCAATAAATTCCAGAGAATACGCACGTGGCTAACATCCATTTCGCATCAATATGTCCGCGTGCAGCGCTCCTTGCGAGCCACGAAGCACTCAAACTGTCACTGAGCGGTACTCCTTCTCCTTGTCCATATAACACACCAAGAGCGAACTCGGCGTCACGGTGGTTACGCTCTGCTGCTCTGCTCAGCAACGTCACTGCAACTTCTAGATTTTGTTCGACGCCGTGGCCGTAGAACTTCATCATGGCCAAGAGGTACAACGATTCAGGCTGCTCTTGTTGGACACCGTGTAATATTGCCTGCATGGAACCTTCGTCGATTGGAGAGCCTCGTGGCGTCGCGACTTGTTTCAAATCTTCTCGAACGAGAGATACACTAGCGCAGACCGCCTGCGTCGTCGTAGCAAGTACTACAAGCATCAGAATTGTTGACACTTCCATTCTCGATTTTTTTTTCAGGATAAAAAATAATCCTTGACGTGACTCTTCAAACCAGATCGAGTTTTTTAATTGCCTGATGTCACAAGTTCGCCAAGATCCGTACCAAACAACCTTTGAGCGTTCTGGAAGTGGGTCCGCAACTCTAGGCGATCAGCAGTGGTGGGTAGTAGAAAAAAAATGCGTGTTGTGTTTGGTTTTTATTCATTTTGCTTCGTAGGGTGCAGTTTCTCGATTTGCTGGTGGAGAAGAATTTCTTGACTGACGAAACAGCCCAAAAATTTCGGCAAGAGGTGATACCATCACACTCGCAGCATTTTGAACCGAGGATTTACATGCTTTGTTAATAAATCAGCATGAAGGACGGCCGCACACTTTCGAGCTCTTCCAACGCGATCTCTGTAGGTGGGCGGATGTTCAGAGCTCCATTCCAGTAGACAGCATCATCGACAAACTCAAGGAAAAGGTACGTCTTTTATCACGGTCTTACTGATTTTTTTTTTTGAGTGTTGTATCGTACTAAAGGGAAATTTACGGTAGACTCAGTTCCTTCATCAAGTGATCGACGCACATCATGATGCCGATCCCATTAACGTCAACTTTTTGCATCCAGTCATCACACAAGCTGAAATACTGAGACACAAACTGGCTAGACTAGAGGAGACGACAAGTAGTGCACTGGTTTCCAAATGGGTAGCGTCGGATCTCTTCAGTTCTGTTGAAAACTCTTTCGAGTCCGAGAGTGCATGTCCGTGGAAATTCCAGCGAGCGAATGCTCGATATCTGCGAGTTGAAGAAAGACAAAGAGCAAAGCACCAGTTCAGACTTCGTCATTGCGACGAAAGTACCGATCGGGTTTTGAAGGAGACATTTTTCCCTGTGCTTGAGCAATTTCGTGAAGTACAAATTGGGATGGCAACTTTCACGTATCCACAACTAAAAGACGAAGAGGATAAAGACCCAGAATTCGCTATCGCTGTGATGATACGACGCCAGAGCACCAGTGGGGGAGCTCTGTTGTGGCTGGATAATCTGGTGTCTGCGTATAGACAGCTATCGTTGAGCCCATACGTCCAGCAATATCTCGGAAGTGAAGAGGTATCTGGAACTGAGGATGTCACAACCCGGCACTACTTTGAGTTTGTACAGGTAAGTTGTGTCTAAAGCAGATATCACATTAAACTGATGCGTGTATCGATGTTGAGATCAGGCACGGAGTCTATCTGAAATTCTCTCAGACGACGGAGTACTTCATGAAACATCATCGCTCTTTAAGTTATACGCTCGAGAACTTCTCCTCGCAATCATCGACTTGCTAGAGCAGTCAACGCACCAACTCAACACGGTCAGTACTTGAATTTTTAACCGATATCTTACAATCTTTTGAAGATATCGGCTCGAGTGTATCTCTATGTATCTCTAATTTTGAGTCATGTGTAGCGCTTGTTACCTGATAAAGTGATGATTTCGCACTCGGGTCGCCGCGTTTACTTCGGCAAGCTGGACTTTGGGGGCTACATCGATCCCTTCCAGAGGTGATGAATATTTATATGCGATTTCAAGAAAACATACTTATGCTGGTTATTTCCATAGCAAGCCGCTCTCAACGGTGATGCAGCGGAGGGAGCAATCACTGCTCCAAGATCTGTCAGTGATACTGTTCTCAATGCTGTACCCAGTCACACTCCCGCGAAATTTACCAGAGTTTCGCACCCGATATCTTGGACATCGAGACAGCAAGTTTGTGTTTCGGTATCGCATAAACTGCAAGTCCAAGTGCAAACGACCAGACAGGAATGAGATCTGTGTCTCTTGCGGGGACACCTTTGCGATTGTGTTAGCTGGGGACAACCTCTCTGATGAAATGTGGACGTATCAGACTTCAACAAGCAGTTTGCTGACATGCGTCGACCGTCGATACTCACCTGTAAGTAACTCTACTCCTTGAGAGTCATATATTTTCTGAGCTAATAGGGTCTTGGGTATTCAGATGGAGTTCCGCTTTCGAGCCAAATTGAGTGGAGAGTGTACCATCACATTTTCGCCCTTGGGCAGCAGAACTGTTGGTACTTTTACATTATCCGTGACAATTTGTCAAGATAATTTTCGTTTACACCAGAGCAAAGCTCAGGTAAGCTTGAATCAGATAATTTGAAAGAGCTGGCAATATTTAACTTTTGTTGGTTTTGTAGACACTCATAAGTGCGTGTGCAGCTGTATCGGAAGCTCCACCAACGCTTCTACAGCAAGTATCGCCGCGGATGCTCTTGCTTCAACACGAATATTTTCAACCCTTGTCCAAAATTGAGAGTCATGAAGTGGAACGCGAGCTGCTGGACAGGGTATAACACCAGAACCCCGTAGGTAGGGAAACTAATATCGATTGTACTAGGCACATCACTATGGTTGACGCCATGTTTAAAGCCTGTAAATCGGTTTAATAGTATCGAATTATTTTTCCTATCACTGCAAATAGCAAACCAGTTATTAACATTACATATATCTTTAAAAGTCCTTCGATCGACTACGTTCACGTTTATTTGCTGTACATGTACACATATGCGTACGAAACTCACGACTGAAACAAGTGGTAGATTGAGCAAGAATTCCTTTGAAAACATTGAAGAGCTCTACTTACGTTAGCTATCTTCACCATCAATTGTTTTTTTTTACAAACTCTGTTAATTAAGTAATACTTCGAAGTATGCGACAGTAGTAGACTGATTCTCTCAGGGATCGTGTCCAAAATCACGTCTAAAAGGATCAAGAACCTACAAACCGAAAAGCTATGGGCGTAATTTTAATAAATCACATTGATGAGCTACTGAAAGTTTGCAATTTAAGTCCCGCAAGTACTATTCACGTGATAGTACTTGCGGGACTTAAATTTCAAACTTTGAAATCTCGAACACATGAACTTTATAGACTGCACTGGTCATTGCAGGGATGTATTAGGAATCTTGACGATCTATTAGATCTCTGGTTGAAGGAGGTTTGACGGGGATATTCTCTCCGACCACCGACAAAGAAATTGTGCCCACTGGATAAACAGAAGTTGAGCGTGTCGTTCATCTTCGCAACTTGTCCAGTGGTCGTAGCTCACGTCAACCGATTTATCGTCTACTTCTGTAAAAGTGAGGAACGTTCCCCCTTCAAGTACCCAGTTGACAGCATCCTGAGACTCCACAGCGGCACGGTTGAGTGCATTGGCCTTTGTATCCGCAATAACCATCATGTAATGGCTAACGCGCTTTCCATTTCGTCGTTTCCAAGACAATCTTCGCAGTAGAAATAAAAAGCGGTAATGTTTCGGCCCGGGAACGTTGCATACCATCACATACGCGTCCTTCTCGAACTCTTGCAGAAATTCCGTATATACCGCATCACGTTGACAACGATTCCAATTTGGGGGCGTTGATATTAGTGGCCATGCATTGAACCCCAATTTCGGCATTGTGCTGTTAATGTCGTCGAACGAGCGGTTCAGTCGAGTCGTAAATCTAGCGTGGGTCACGGGCAACCCACCCTCTAGTCTTCGAGTCAACGGAGCGCAATGCATGTTCCAGCCGAACATCGTGCCCACCAGTTTGATATACGGTGGACAATCACCAAGTAGGCGAACACACGTCTCGATAACTTCGTCGAAGTGATCGCGAGTAAAGGGCTGGAAGTGGAAAGAAGGCTCACCATTCGGGAAATTCACGTGCCAGCCAGAATCAGTAGAGCTAGGGCGCGATGTCCATGGCGACTTCCCACTTTGTTCGTAAACATCTATAGCGCCATCGTCTTGAGGTTGAATGCCGTTAAGTTCCTCAAGCCTTTCTTGAGCTAGTGACAGCATGCGTTGATGAAATTGCAGTTGTTTGTGTAGCTCGGAATTTTCGCTTCGAAG